ACAAACACAAAATACAAAATAAAATTGTCTTACCAATACCGTTTTGTAAATAAAGTATTTCGTATACATGCTAGCCCTAATAAATATGTGAGAAAAATAAATATATAGTTTATTGTTTACCTGCAGATGTCAAAAGTCCATTGCCCAACCAAGGTTTCAGCATATCATAGAAATCTCCTTTTGTGACATTTACAGTGCTAGGTAAAATATGCTATAATGTTCGAAAAAAATATAATCCAATAATATTCAAAGAAATAATATAAAAATTTTTTTATTTTTAATATACATTCATCCGCAAAAAACGGACCACTCAATTTTAGCACAAATTTATATATATATTTATATATTTTTATCTATATTTTTATATATAATATTTTAATATATAATATATTTTATAGAGTAGTGATATCACAACAAAAAATCATCATTGTGAGATTTTGTGTGTGGGGGTGTGTGTGTGTGTGTGTGTGTGTGTGTGTGTGTGTGTGTGTGTGTCGCACACGTATGTATAACATTTTTATATGTAAAATAAGTACAAAATATTTAATCTATACGACATTATGAACAATATGGTTCAATCTTTTAAATCGTCCAATCCAAATTTTTTTTTATGAATATAAGATTCAGAGATCGTAAAAGAAAAGAAATGTCTCAAATAGCCCCGGTCTGTCATTAAGTTTAGAAGTAAAAGTTATCCATTTTGTAACTTTTTATTTTGAAACATAATTTTGTTTAAAAAATCGTAAAAAAATGTTCCATATACGGATTTGTTTGGAAATCAATGATCTTAAAAACTCATACACTTTTATGCCTGGCAGCCAATTCCCCTGAATAACGCAATAGTTTGAATTAAAATTTTTTTCCTTTCAATGTCTATTTTTAATGTCCGCTATTTTATAATACACTTTGTCAAATTTGATCTACATGGTTATTAATGAGAATGTTCAAACTCTTTAATTTAAGTTTTTTGGTACATCTCGTTAAAATTTTGTTTAGACATCACTACTCAAACATATTAAAAATTGTCCTAAAATTTAGTAATTCATTTTTTTGCTGATAAGTGTACAACAAATTTTAAGTGCTACAATAAATTTCGTCAATTATAAATAGAAAAAGAATTTACTGATTAACCCTAGTAAGTTCATTGATTCAACGTACCCTATTTTCAAATTGCTGTAACTTTTTTATAATATAATTTGAAGATCCGAATTGAGAGAAGAAGACTGAAAAAAACATTAACTATCCATAGATATGATAAATCTGCAAGGATATTTTTTGTACGTTATTCTCGATGTGAGAATGTATGAAAGTTCAAAGAGAGTACTGAGGATCCATACGTGACTAACTTGCAAGCTTTCGGCATATCCCTTTTCAGGATACCCCCTTATTTTTTATTAAATATATGTTTAATGATTTTGGAATAGTATAAAAATAAGTACATGAAAAGAATTAAAAAGAATTATATTTAATATAATTAAATAGAAATTTTTAAATTTTTGTCACTTTTCGGAGATCGCTCAACCGGGACGGATAATTGCTTTGGAGCGAGTGTTGTATCATCCTCTAAATCCTAATAAATTTAATTATACATACTATAATATACATACTATATACTATTATACATACTATAATAATATTTATACATGTACAATCATTTATCTATCATTTTGTATTTAAATAACAAAATTTTATTTATTAATTGTATATATATATAGATTATATGTATAGATTTTTCAAAAATGTTGGTTTTCGATAATTCAAATAATTATTTTCTTTTTAGCGAGTCGTATTATCTTTTTTTTTTGATAGTCCAAAAAGATCAATTAAAAAAATCCTACTTCCTTCTTGCACATAAAATTTAAAATTTGAGAATTTTTTTCAAAGTAATTTTTTGCAAATTTTTCCAACATAAGTTCTTTGAAGCATTGTGATTAATTAAAAATAAAATATTATACATTTGGTTTATTTATCTGCCTTTGCTTGATTTTGAGGTATAAATTTCATAGATTTTGAGATAAAAAATACGTATTCAGTCCAGAGATATAGTGTAACAAAGTTGCAGAGTTTCATAAATCTGTGACCAGAAATACCAGATTAGGTAACCAAAAATAATGACTTACTAGGGTTAATATTATTTATTAAAAACTTTGTTGTGTTAAATTTATAATTTATTTCGCTATTATAATAAAGAAATCTCTATTCTTCAGTAACAATACTAATAGTGACATTGTAAAATTCAATTTATTAAAATAAATTTTTTATAAAAATAAAAGTTAATTTTTTTTAGTATATTTACACACAAGAAAATTTTTAGCCCATTTTCTGTTCTATCTTTACTAATAAATATTTATAAAATAATCATTTACATTGTACTAAATAGTATACAATAAAATTTGATTACTACACATTATAATAGAGACAAACAGGATTTCGATGTAATCTTTTCCTTTTTTTAATTTTTAGTTTTAAAATAATAAATTTATAAAAACAGTTATTATATAAACAGTTATTATATAAATACTTGAGAATGTTATATATCATCACAGTACACAAAGATGCTTCTTCGTGCTTAAATAATGTATTAATTATTGTAGAAAATATAACGGATGTTATTTTCTATTAGTAAATAAATTTTATTTACCTGCAAGTATTCTGGCTTAAATATGTTAATATAAGGTGCAATTCCGATATAGTGTATGAATATTCCTTCTTTATAATTCTCTACTACCGTAAGAAACAATTTCATGCGCTCTAATAATTAAATTTATTAATTTATTAATAATTTAATATTATTTATTTACACAGTAATTAATTTAATTATATATATTTAAATATTAAAGTTTTAAATTTAGAGCTGGCTATCTCAAAACAATATATTGATTAAACAATATATTGATTATGTTAGAAATGGAAAATGAACACACAATAAATTAATTGCTACACCTTTATTTTTTAATTTTCTTTTAATAACAAAATACTGCAGTATTTTTTGACATTTCAGAAATGTATCATTATTTGAGCAATTATATTTTATACTTCTACACATATACAGTAACTCATTGGACAGATTGTTTCAGTTTGCCACAGATTTGACAGATTTCAGGATTATGTTTTTTGAAAATATATTTTTAAGAAAAATCTGAAAAATAAATCTGTATGTAACTATTAATTCATTGCAAGTCATTTCCGACATCAAATATGACGCCCCGAGATAATCAAGCTTTAAGTTGTGTGCGAATATAGATATATAAATGCTACTGTATAACAAAATAATGCAAAAATCTTATATAAAGTTCTTTACCATAATCTGATAACCTCATTAACTTAAATATCGAACCAATAACAGGTGCGGGTAGATTTTTGAGTTTCTGTCGAATAACATAATGATGATGCACTTTTGGTAGAAATGCGAAAATAACAAGGATGCAAAGAGTACATAGTGTCAAAAAAATTAAATCCATTGTCGTAATCTGCGAACACTTCAAATAAATAGTTTATCAAACAAATTCATACATTAGATTTGCTAAAGTGAGATATTAATATTACTACATTAATATTATTATGAAATTATATTAATATTATTAAAAAGTTGTAGTATCCCAATACTAATTATTATGTAAATATATTTTCAAAAATACATTTTCAAAGTATTTGAGAAAATATTTCCCAAATATATCTTTATTTCTCAAAGATACTTTCAATTATGATAAAGACGATGACACATGTATCAGAAAATATATTTCATGTCAACAAATCTTTTATCTTATATTTATTCTGTTTTGCTTTGTATTTTCATTGAACTTTTTATAAATCTACAATAAATGTACCCAGACAACACCGAAAGTTTTCAGAAATATCTCAGAAATATTTCAACTTAAAAGTGAACATTTCATAAAAATTGCGAAATATGTCTATAACATTTCTGAGACAGCTCTGGAATAGTAAAAAGTCCATAATTCTTGCACATGAAACCTTGTTGTAAGGTTGATGAAATATCAGAAAGGGAATCTGTAATCTTTTTAAAATATTATTATTAAAAGATTTCAGATATTTCTAGTACTATAAGAATGATATTTCAATATACTTGATAGATATTTAAATAATATTAAATTTATTATGTCGACAAAATAAATTTTAATATTGTTATCAATTTTAAACATATATTATAATATCATTTCTAATGTACTTAAAATTTATTAACACTTTTGTGATCTGTTTACAGATTGCAAAACGTTGAAATATACTTAAAATTTCTTTAAAATAATTATTAAATAATTATCGCCAACTATTTTGATTAATTAATCACATTATATGTATAAAAGCACATATACATAATCACTACTAAAAAAATCATACCAGTTTCTACACAATTATTATTCATATACAAAAGTTTTTCGCAATTAAGAATGTTTTATATTTTCAAAATGACAACAAAATAATAAAAAAAATTAGATTATTCTAAATCACGTTTCAAAATAGTATGACAAATTTGATAATGATTTACTGTCTGAATCATAAGTTATTTGAATAAATATCATTTTTTAATCTTCAATAAAAATATATGAAAATATATTATAAAATGATAAAAATTTTTTAATAAAAGTACATTATATATTCAAGATTATTTGCGTAGAATTACTTTGCAATACATGAATTAGTTGTCTAGTAAATTAATAAAACATTTATTTGTTGTAACTAATCATTAAATCTCAATGTAATGTAAATGTAAATTTTTTAATTTTTTTTAATTTCCATTTTTAACAATAAAAATAATAACAAATAAAATAAATAAACTGTACAGATGTGTTATAAAACAAAAATATAATCTTATTCATACAACTTTCATATATATATATCGTTACTATATACATATATATATATAGTTTATTTAAAGTGTAAATATTAAATACATCCAAATTTAATTTTTTTTGCAGGAATTGTACGTTTAATATACGTTTACATATACTATTCTTAAAATAGAACAAGTCACATTACATCAAAATAATGTTAAATTGAATCGTAATTGACCAAAAAAATGACTTTTATAAACATTTTGGATTTTAAATTTATGATACTTTTTTGTTCTGTTTAAATGTTTTTCAATTTATTGCATATAGGCCTGCTAAAGATTAAAAAAAAAAAGAAATTATTTATAGGTACATTATTGTTTTTTTAATGATTTTTTAAAAATGTTTTTTGTATTATGTTACATGTATAATGTTACATGTATAGTAGAACAAGTAAATTTGTAGTAAATAGAATTTTGTTCCTCCTGGGCAAACACAAATTATTCACTTACACAACACATTCATAAACACAACTCATTTAAAGTTAGTTTAAATAAATCCACTAATGGTTTTTTACTCAATTTAGTAAAATGTTTATATATATATATAAAAAATATTTA